AGGGATCGCAGATTTTTTCAATACTCTGATTTTTTGTCTATCTTAAAAAGCACAAAGAAACCCGAGCTTTCAAATGAGCCATGGCTTATGTCTTAACAATTTTTCCTTGCATATATAGACCAAAAAGTCGGATCTGAATTAAGCACATCTTCCTCTTAATCGTGGGCACATTTTTGGCCCTGTTGACTGCACAATTTTAATTTTTGTGATAAGACCGGTTTCCCTATGGCCAGGCTCATTTGTTAAAGGGACAAAGTGCGTAAATGAAGTCTCACTTTTGATCTTCATAGTATTTCCAATGGATTAATAAGTACCCGATCTTTCATTTGACACCAAAAAAGCTCAAACAGACCACATCAGAGTTGACACTTGATCATGACAAAATATTTTTGATCTATCAATTTATATATGTCAAGTTTTTAGCAATGCCATAGAAAGATGGCATTGTTGTTTGCATTAATTATCAATTCATTTTTGACAGGATTTTCAATCCAAGAGTTATTTAAAACATACACTATTTGTGAAAAGTGGTAATTCACTTTTTTCAATCTCTGAACTTCAAATGCTGTTTTCTATGCAAGTAATGTTTTTTTCACTTCAGTATTATCCCAAATTAAAGTTTTTATCATATTTGATTGACTGTGTGAGTGACATGTCTCAAACAATATGTTGTCCTTTTTCATTCAAAAATAGGCGCATTGCCTGTAGTTTTTGGAAGTTGTTAGAATTTGCTACAGACGCCGATTACCAACCACCAACCGCCAGCCACCCGAACAACCGACTGCCCACCGCAACGGCCAGGGTAAGATGCCGTGGGTGTGATCCCATGTGATAAAACCCCACAAAACAAGGAAAGACAATTCAAGTAAAATTTGTTGAAAAACATTAACACGTTAGACCTATAGCTTGAAATGCTTAGAATGCACAATACGGGGCACAATATAGCCATGTGAAATTTAAAAAAGTCCATACCGTCCCGGGGGTGAGGCCCCCGCGCCGGGCCCCGCGTCATACCCCATCTTCTCTTGCAGTGATGCGAACCCCAAAAATACCACCCCTTGACAATTGCTGGCTTCGCCTCTAGACTCTCTTAAAAATACAAAAACATTTCCTAATATAAGGCATTACTTCACTTACATGTATTGTAGGCCTATATTTTGTCATGGAATATAAATTCTCTACGTTCGTTAATTTCATGTGACAATTCGTTCGTAAATATACCGTCGAGTTCGTAAGTAAAGTTTGTTATTTTTAGTGTAGAAATCTATTCTAAGGCTTATATTTAGTTTAGTTTTAATTTTAAATCATAATGAATAGTATCAAATGATACCTTAACTAATGTTTCACATTTTTTTGTCGTAAAAAAATATATATACATATAGGGAAGTGTACAAAATGAGTTGATATAATGTAGCCTAGCGGGCGATAATACATGAAATTATATTGATATTTGCGATTTTCGATCGGCCAAGGTCCTAAGTTCAAGTTCACATAACCCAGAATTGGACATCAAGACTCCGTCAGGTCTGAATAAAGCTCTAAAACCAGATATAAACAAAAGGTTGAACTAATCTTCTTGATGAAATCAAAAAGATTTAATTGTCGAACGCAAATAAACTTTAGGTTCAGCCACAGGTACCTGTATCAACACCTGACAGTGACATCTATTGGTGACCAAACCCTGGAAATAACCCTTTATCTCTTATATGTATACGAGATATATTTTGAGGGTTCTGTCAACAGAAGATGTCACTGTCAGGCATTGATACAGGTGTAACGATAACGACCCTTGGGCACATCCGAAAGAGAGTGTGCTAAATTCAATACCCCGTACGGGAATTGAACCCAGGACCTTCCGCTCTCGAGTCAGACGCTCTACCCCTGAGCCATAAAGGCTAGCCACTACAGCTGAGACTGTAGTAGCGACTTGCTATCGAAGGTCATTATACAGGTTCCAGGTGCTTCTAGTTTGGCTAATAACGTGTGTGGCCTCTTATATTTTGATGCTTTTATGACCGGGCTTTCTTTATATTAATTGTACACAAAAGTGTGATGTTTTAATTTCTATCTTTTATTTATTTCACTTGTTTTCACTTCTAAGCTACTGCTAAATCTAGTTATGTCTTTTTGAAGTCTAGGCCGAAAGTGACCCAAATCTCTCACATGGCATATAGTATCTTCCTCAAAACCAGACATCACATGATCACTTCAAATCTGTTATGTAAAAAGTTTAACAATAGGAAGACTGCTTCAAATCCTAATTAGAATCCAAGATATAGAAATGTAAATTAAATGTAAATTAAAGAAACATTTGTAAGTCTGAAGATGCTCTGAACAATTGTAATGATTGCATATTTAATGTGAGAAACTGACCAGAGATATCCCAGGTGTACTACATGACCCGGGTTTATCTAAATGCTTTTTGTATCATGTTTCCATTAATTAATTTACAAAGTAAAAACAAAGTAAAAGTATAAGATATTAATTATAAAATACAACATGAAAATCACTCCGTCACATTTGCTTCTCCTCCAAAGAATGCGTCCCGCATTCTAAATGAAAATCACTCCGTCACACTTTTCTGACATAGTATTTTCAAAAAGATTAACATGGCTGAAATTCTTTAAATTACAAGAGGGCACAGGCTTATTGCACAAAAAACTAAATAATCTGAAATATAAAAATGTCATTCATGTACAATATGAGTAATACATGTATACATTTTCATATATTATTGCATAATGGTCTCCTAATTTCTTATTTTTGGGGTTCTACTGACGCAATAGAATAGTGAAACGGGCTGTAGTGAGTTAGCTCTCCACAGGCTTTTCTTTTCAGTGGGGAATAAGAACATGCATTTCAGGGGGATCTGCATACAGCTACAGATAAAATAAAAAGATAGTCCATAAGTAAAGAATAATGGGGGAATCACCCATTAGCCTTCAGTTCAATGTTCTAGTTTGCTATACAAGAAATCAAAATGATGCAATGATTGTCATTCTGTCGACTTTTGGACAGAAGTACAATGTATGCACAAAATAATAATGTAGCATAATAATGGAAATGAATACACCCAGGGCATTTACTGTTTATAAGCTCTGGATTCTGGAACAGTTTATGTTCCCAATAAGATGCTGGGTTGTATTCTTTGAATGACATTGATGACTTAATGCTGAGTATCTTAGCATAATGAGAAGACTGAAGCGAAATAATATAGCCTAATATGAATCCTGAGACTACTCTTGAAACGGCAAAAATATGGTAAGGTGGGGGTGACAAAAGGTTGATAGATTTGGGTGACTTTTTTGCGCTTGCTTACCGGGAGATCAACTGGGCAAAACTCCATCTTGACCTGGAAAAAGTGAAACACCCTAATGTAGCAGCCGTATTTTAACAATTATGAAACAATATTATTCTCATCAAAAGGTTGCCTGTGTATTGTGATCTCATGCTGTTACCATGTAAAGAATCTTAACAGTGATACATGTATGTAAAAATTTGAACGTGAATAGCTTGCATTATATTGCCAGCACCATTTTTGATACTTTTTGGACACTCTGTACTACATGTGTATGTCATCTTTCAGGTGAAGTCCACAAGCAGTATGGCACTTGTTAGTCTAAGGCGATGCCTCGGTGCAGTGTTGAAGAATGGAGCCGCTATGGTACAAACAAGGTCATACTCAGCTGCAAGTGGCTACCTAAAAGTAACCACTGAGAATGATATTGGTAAACATGATGCCACAAGGCTTTTTATTAGTTTATCAATTCTGTTGCAGTTTACCATTCTATATTTATTATTTATTTTATTTATTTATTTATTTATTTATTATTTAGACGTACACTTTTAAATCAGTGGCACACTAAAAATATTTAGGTGCGTCTACAGTCAAAATACATACATATATAAGACACTAGTGAACATTTTTTAACCTTCAACCAATACCTTTCAAATTCATCATATTTTGTTACATGTATGTTGAATTCCAGTGATATGAAGACAGCCTAGTAATTTGTTTTGATTTCTTAAAATATACAGTATTGTAAAGGTGGTCTAGTTTTTATATCACAATAAGAAGTGGTGACATCTTTTTATAGTCTTTAACTTTTGGTGGATGTTGGCTGGTGTTCAGTGTTCGGCATCTGTAACAAATGTCAGGTTTTATTGCATGTTAATGATTGTTATACTTCAATGACTGATGTCTAAACTGTCTCTAACTGTCCATCAGAATACCAATAATCCAAGTCAAGAAGCTAGAATTTAGCTAGAATATGTAGTATGTTGGTGTACATTTTCTATGTTTCTATCTAACTCTTCAACTCAGGATGGGGGACAGTAATCTTGTTAAATCTTGTATCTTTTAGCCACCATAGCCATGGACAAGAAGCCTGTTAACAGTTTAAACCTAGAGTTCCTCACAGAACTAAGCTTAACCCTCGAGAAGCTAGAAAATGAAAAGTGCAAAGGTCTCATACTGACATCCGTAAGTTTTTGGACATCATGATGTTGACATCTTAGTAATATTATTTTACATTGAATATTGATGTACATCAAAGGTCTAATGGTAACTAGTCAACTCAACACCAAGTCAACTCAACCCAAGTCAACTCAACCCTTAGTCAAGTCGACCCCAAGTCAAGTCGACCCTTAGTCAAGTCGAACCCAAGTCATCTCGACCCTTAGTCAACTCAACCCCAAGTCATCTTAACCCTTGGTCATCTCAACCCTTAGTCAACTCAACCCCACCATAAAAAAACAAATAGATATACTATTTTCATGGTACGATATTGATGAATTTTGAAAGAATGAGGGACTAAAATACTAATTTTCCAAAGTAATATTGAAGTTTGTGCTTAACGCATTTATAATTTTTATAATATGACATTATATTATTTACCAAAATAATATTTGATTAATCTTAATAGGGCCATTCAGGATGCTATACATATATTTCACCCCTTCATATTTGAGCTTGTCTTATCTCTCTGAAATAAAAAAAATATCTATACACTTTTCTGTTATACCGAAATTGTTGCAACAGTATTTTTGACAATAGGTAACTTATGCAACATGTGCATTGTGCCAACATCCATCCATTACTTTGTATTGAATGATGTTATATTTTGATAATGATAATAAACAATAAACAATATGATATAGTTCAGATCTTCCTTCTGATCTATAGGCGATAGAAATGTTTATTTTTTGAAGCTAGATTTTAAAGCAAGACTGAACAAACAATGGGATTTATGATTTTACAATTTCCATTATCGTACCCATGTCAGGTGTCATAAATAACAATATTAGGATTTTATAACTGATCCAGTTCAAATCTTCCTTCTGATCTACAGCTGGCGATAGAAATGTTTATTTTTTGAAGTAAGATTTTAAAACAAGACTAAACAAACATGGGATTTATGTTTTTCTATTTTCCATTATCTTACTCATATGTCAGGTGTCATAAACAATCAGATTGGGATTTTATGATTCAGTTCAAATCTTCGTTTTGATCTATAGGTGACAGAAATGTTTTTTTCTTTGAAGTTTGATTTCAAATCAAACTGCACAAACAATGGGATTATATTGTATTTTAATCTACTTAAAACAAGTAAAATCATTTGGGTCGACTTGACTAAGGGTTGAGTTGACCAAGGGTTGAGATGACTTGGGGTCGAGTTGACTAAGGGTCGAGATGACTTGGGGTCGACTTGACTAAGGGTCGACTTGACTTGGGGTCGACTTGACTAAGGGTTGAGTTGACTTGGGTTGAGTCGACTTGGGGTTGAGTTGACTAGGAAGCGGTCTAATAGGTGGCCATTTTGGATTTTCCATCCAAAAATCTTGTCTGTCACGGCTTGTCTATAGGTTTCCACCCAAACCATTTCAAGGAGTCATCTGAAATTTTAGAAATGTTTCAACATATGAAAGTTTAGAACTGATTAGTTTTTGCCAGGCAACCTGGGTAAATGTAAGGTGGCCATTTCAGATTCTCTGTCCCAACTATTACGGGGTGCAATTCTGTTCACTCTGTGTCTTGTTAAATGTTACCTACCGGGTCCTCAAGAACTTGAAATTTGCAAATCATGACTAATCTGCTTCATTCGATAAACTGTATGATGATTTTGTATCAAAAATTAAAAAAGTTATAGCATTTTGAAAAAAAAGTGGCGTTTTTTTTTGGCCCACCCTGTACATGTACCTATAATAACACATTAAACTAGTTAAAATATTTGTGTATAAATTGAATTCCAGGCTCTCCCAAAAATCTTTTCTGCAGGCTTAGATATTCTTGAGATGTATCAGCCCAAGGAGGAAAGACTGAGACAATTCTGGAGTACATTGCAAGATGTCTGGCTGAGACTTTATGGCTCACCACTAGTTACAATTGCTGCCATATCAGTAAGTCACCTGTATGGAATATGGCTCTTGATCATAGTACATGTACATCAGTATGTAATAATGGTACTCTCATAGAGTACACACATGTACATTTAACCATGGTCAATATGACATTAGGAGTATAAAGCAGTTTGATAAGAGTGATATTCATATACTGTATGCTAAATAGCTGATATCTCCAAACTTCCCATATGTAATATCTGTTTAAGTACCTGTACTGTATATGATGGTAATGGTACAAGAAGCACAAAATGAAACAGTGCACTTGAACAGTATACCTTAACAAAACAAACCATTTACATTTATAACCATACTCTACAGGTTCAGTAGAACCTGTGTAAGTGGAACAGCCTCCGTTCTGCCAAAAAGCGTTCCACTTAGGAGGTGTTCCACTTACGGAGGTTTGGGTTCGCGGGGATTTAAGAACATTCAAGATAAAATATAGGGTTTATATGTATCACTGGAAATATGATTCTCCATTCATTGCAGGGCAGCTATATACCATTAATTATCCATTTGTTTTACTCAAAAAGGTATCTGACATTTTTAATCCTCCCTATTCTGCCAAAAATGTTTTCTGACATTCTTAATCCTCCTCATTCTGCCAAAAATGTTTTCTGACATTCTTAATCCTCCTCATTCTGCCAAAAATGTTTTCTGTTTTTTACTCCTCCTCATTCTGTCAGTGTCAGGCACAAAGATTTGGCAATTAAGTTTTGAAGACTAGTTCCTCCTGCTTATAATTCATTTGTTTTTAACCTGGCAACATTCTTAATCTTACTTATCAAGTCAACAAAGAGCAAGGGGTATTAATTAGTAGTTGAATCACATGTCCATCTCTACAGGAGGTTAATACAATTTGATGAATGCTAATCTTATGAAATCCTAATTTACTGTTTATCAAATTAATTAGTGGTAGCATCACATGTTGATCTCTACAGGAGGTTAATCCAATTTGCTATATGGTAATCCATTAAAATTCTAATTTGCCAATTATCATCTTATTACCTGTTTTCATACCCAGAAATCACTGTAGGCGGTTAATTCTGTTTACATAAGTATCAATATTGAATTTATGGAAAATTGACTGTACCACTTAGCAGGTTAAATTCTCAATATGGGGTGTTCACTGTTCAAGTTTGGAGGTGTTCCACTTACAGAGGTTTATTTAACATTAAGTCAATGGGTTTCTAAAACGGAACTTTGAAAAAGTGTTCCACTTGCGAGGTGTTCCACTTATAGAGGTGTTCCACTTAGCAGGTTCTACTGTATGTTTGTTAAATGCTGCAATAATACAAAGTAATTTCTTCACTAGGGCCACAGTCCAGCTGGTGGTTGTCTCCTATCTTTGTCTTGTGACTACAGAATTATGGCCGACAATTACACCATCGGCCTTAATGAAACCAAATTAGTAAGTATAGTATTGTAAAATATACAGTTGACCTACCCAGAGGTGGAGGTTTTATACTTCCAAAAAAGAAACCAAGAATTGATTATTCAGATTGAATTGACAAGTCTATCTGAAGAAACAACTTCATGACAATGTGAATAGTGATCTTATTGTCTTAGGGCTATCACTTATTTTTGAGCAATTCCGATAGGGGTCTTTAAATTAGAATTTGTACTTTTTGCTTTTGATGAACCTCAAGAAAGAATTTAACTCTGAAATTCATCAAAGTATAAATCATTAAGTGCTACTATCTGTAATTCTCATCCTAAAAAATAAATAAATTTTCTTCTAAAATGTACCAAACTTTTACTGAGCATAGTTCAGTCACTTATTTATCTGATGTAAAGTTTATAGGTGAAAACCTCAAAGTTAATGCATTAAACTAGTCGATATTTGATATGACCCCTCTTCTCCTGACTTACAAGTTGAAGCCTGGGGCTCAGATTTGTAAATATTCAATTAGTTTACTGTTTGTTTGTTTTGTCCAAGCCATCTTAATTAAAAATTTCTGCTTGATCAAACTTCCTATTTGTTTGTCTTGGAAGATCAAATCTAGTAACATATTCAACACTTTTTTCCCAAATTCATGAGTATCAAGCATATTTTGATGGCTATTGTTGGGTGTATTACTGATTGAATATTCTCCAGAAAGAGGCCAGGGCAGTCTGATTTGACTGGTAAATGAAGTCCCTTCCCCTTTAGGTATGAGGTTCCATATCCATCCGCCAAAAGGTATGACCCCTATATAGTCCATTTAAAAACTTGTGGTTTTGTTCTAAATAACGCCATAGTTGGCTTCTAGGGTACCTAGTATGCCACTATTTGGTATCAAAATAAAGAGGAGGAGTTCAACTTTTATTTGAATTACGAAAATAGCGATGTAGGTCAAAATAGTTCCGACGTGATCATGTTTACTACGCGTTTGGCCGGTCATCTCAGAATTGAGGCGATGATAGCAAACGCGAGTTACAATAAATAGACGCTGATGTCTCAAAAAGTAACCTGACTCCCTATAATTTGATGTAGATCAATCGAACCCCTGTATGAACAGGTACATTTTGATATATAACACTATGGGGGGTAAGCGTTTTATAGTTGATCACGAACGCCATATGTGCCGGGTATTGTTCTGAATTTTCGAATTTGGTGTTGGACTACGGTACTCATACCTTTATTGTTCTGATATGAATAATATTCATTGGAAATATCAATATGTCTATCAATATCATAGAGAGAACACAAATGGTATATTATATATATATTATACACTGTATATGTGCTTAGCGTTGGTTTTTAATGTGAATAACTGGTCAGTTTTGCCTTTACTGAAAAGTGGGAACAATTCTTTTGTCACTTAAGTAGCTGTGAGGGTTATGCAATTGCTTACCTCTGACATGTTCATTCTTCCCTACTCTTAAATGAAAATGATCATTTTGGGTATTGTTTAAGTTTAAGTTAACACAATATTTTTCTGGCAAACCCCAGATGTAAATACCTTTTGTCAACTGAATATGATTTTATAAAATATTTATAGCAAGTAACATGTACATTAAAGCTTTGAAATAAATAATACTTGAAAAAGTAGCCGCGGAATTGACAAGTGTATATTTAAGAAAGGGGGGTCCTATCAAATATCGACTAGTTTAATGCATTGACTTTGTGATTTTCACCTATAAACTTTACATCAGATAAATAAGTGATTGAACTATGCTCAGTAAAAGTTTGGTACATTTTAGAAGAAAAATAAAGGTTTTGCGTTCAATTAACAAATGTTCCAATTTTTTTTGGACCACCCTGTATATAAACTTACACACGAACCTTGAAAAAACCCTCACTTAGCAAGTAGTACAAGTTCCAAACAAATCTCTTTTTATTGGATTTTAAAAACCAACAAATTCAATCTGAATCTCTACATGTAACTGAACAGTATATTGGAGCTTGAATCTTTTAGGGTTATTTAAGATGAGATTTGCTGCTACCAGGTATATAAGCCTATTACCTTGTATATTTTCTTTTACAGGGTATTGTTGCTCCATTCTGGTGAGTTCATTTTACAGAATATATTTCTTAATGTACTTGTAGTTTTCTTTTAAGAATAGTCACAGTCTCATAAATGCTGAGACTGAAATGACAACATTGTAGTTTGTATACCCTGTATTGAATCTATTCAACCCCTCATTGATTGAAAATTAATATACTGTTCATGTCAGTATTGAAACATTGTTTCTTTTCACGTTAGATTATGGTTTGGGATATATAGGGTCTACTTTTCCTATGACAGATTTACACTTACAGTTTGCTTTTCTTGTTGGGTTTCTTTAAAGTTTTAAGTCACCCTTCCCTTTGGCATTTGTGCTTATATATTCATTGTTTGAATCACAGCAAAAGAAGTTTGAAAGAAGTGGAATTCTATTCAATATAATAGACAGTTTTCGGGACAGAAAATTCAAATTGGCCGCCCTAACATTTACCCAGACTGCCCAAAAACTAATCAGTTCTAAACTTTTATATGTAGAAACATCCCTAAAAATTTCAGATGAATCCATGAAACAGTTTAGCTTGAAAACTGTAGACAAGCCTCGTCAGACGAAATTTGTGTTGTATGTCGTATAACAATATACGCAAAGTGATTTTGCTATGACAGAAATCTATTTTTCAGGTTTGTTGACACTATGCACAATGTGGTTGGTCACAGACAGACTGAAATGGCTCTCCAGCTTGGGACAATGTTTAGTTCTCAAGAGGCATTGTCCATTGGGCTAGTGGATCGAGTAGTTGGAGAAGGGGAAACTGTAGATGCTGCCAAAAAGGAAATGTCACAATGGGTCAAAATTCCAGGTACTATAGTATTTCATTTCTGTATGTTTATACTTAGATAGTTTAAGAAATATTAATTGTTTGGATCAGTGGATTGTATTCTTACCCATGAAGTTTACTAAGTAACACAGAATAATAATGCAAAAATACATACTATCACCAAGGGTTTACATGTATATTACTGAGCTATGAATGTGTATTGGTATTGGAGTGACATCATTGAATTTCACAAATATAAATAAAATTGGAAAAGTATGTTGAAAAATGAATAAGAAATACATACAATCATTATATTAAATAAGATTGATATTAAGAGTTGAATTCTTTTTCTAGGCTATGCTCGTCAGCTATCAAAGATGCAGCTTCGGAAACCCACAATTGACAAACTTGTTGCTAGAAAAGAAGATGACATTAATTATTTTGCAACATTCATTACAAAAGATGGCGTCCAAAAAGCAATGGGGATGTATCTTGAAAGTTTAAAGAAGAAGTAATTCTCGGAAAATCAACAGTGAAGAAATCAACAGAAATCAACTCAATAGTAACATGATATAATGACATAGAGGTATTTTTTATATAATGTAACAAGCTATCAATGATGTACACCATGAAATACAAAAATCAGTACCATTTCATGACATGCCCGGGTAGCATTTATGTTGACATTAATTAATCATTTATTGTATGTCACACTAACCCTAAAACGGTTAGGCGATAGAGAATTACACCAACGGTTAGGGAGGGGGTAGATCTGCCCCCCCCCCTATGATCTCAGAAACCGACAATCACAGGAGGATGTATAATCTATCATTGGAAAGGTTATTCGATTCCCAGTATTTTGAGCCTACTTATATTCTATATTGAGCCATTTTTAATGGAGAAATTCATATTCTAAGAACTTAGGGCTTTTTCATTTCAAGTCAAAAAAGTGACAACCTTGACCAGCTCTAACTTTGCTCCTAGGGGGGTTAGAGTCACACATTTTTCGCTGAAACATGCCTAATTCAATTATAAGAAAAGCCAGAAAGTTTCAGGTCAAAGGATAAACTACAAAAAAGTTACCAAAAAATTCCTTAGGGGGGGCAGATCTACCCCCCCCCCACCTTAACCGTTTAAGGGTTAAAGACTCCAATGTAAAGTTTATATCACTTACGAGTGTCTTATCCGATGTGATCAAAATGTGGTATGAGGAACTTTTCATTTAATTTTCAAAAGTCGACGTTGGAGGACTTTTTGTTCGAAAACTTGTGACTTTATTTCAAATTAAATTTTGGTTGTCACACACACATCCTTTAGGAATAATTTACACCAATTCATAGCAAACATTTGTGATGCAAAATTCAGAAAATAGGTTGAAAAGTAAGCATAATACAATGTGTTTAAGAGTGCTAAGTGTTGTATTTTATTTGATGATCTAAGAAAGATTCTTTCAAAAATGACTGGAAATTCAAATATTTGAAAAACTATATTCAAAAGTCACATTTTTCAAAAGACACATTTTCAAATATTTCAATGATTGTACTATATTTTATGTCACAGCCACAAGCATGATAAGTGGTGACTTGTTATAATCTCCAACTTTTTATGCTTGGTGTTCGGGGATTGGTGGTCACAGTCAGCATCTGTAACAATGGCAGGTGGTGCTATTTTGCATGTCAATGCCTGTTTAACTTTTCACAGGGCCTATAAGGGACTGCATGGAATGTTGAATGCTACATAATTTATATGCTCAAATTGTCAGATAGTCAATAACCATAGAGCCATCACTAAAATGCATTGATATAATATAATAACAGTTGTTTTGTGTAATATTAATTCATGAATTATTTCGTTGTTCTACTTAGATATTGACTTAGTACTTCATTGTACTGTATTTTGTATCAACATAAATCAATGACATGTCAGGGAAATCAACCTCAAATACTTTATTGGTCACCAAAGCTTTAATTGAGTGCTATGAGTATGGCATGCAATCAAATTATCCTATAATTCCAAGGTATTGTCTCTTACATGTGCATGTTCATATTTGTCACGGGGTTGTACAATAATTAGTTATGTTCTATTTTATTTTTACAAATATATTATGGTTAGATGAAACAATTTTTCTTGTTTGATTTTTAGGTCAAAGAATAAGTGGTGAATAATTTTCAAACAAAGTTTTTTCCAAAAGTCGTCATAATTATAAAAAAGACATTTTGCCGCAACTTAATATCCAATGTGTTGGTTATTGTACTGTTTAGCTTTGCACTTTTTAAAAAATGTCAGCCTTATTTCCTCAACTTAAACATATCAAAAGTTTCTTTTATTATGTCCCCACCACATAGTGTGGGGCCATATTGTCGGCCTAGGCGCGTCCGTCTGTCCGTCCGTACGTCCGTCCGTCCGTCTGTCCGTCTGTCCGTACGTCCGGGAGTTTTCTCCAAAACCGCTACAGATATCACCTTCAAATTTTCAGGGATAACTTATGAGTGCATTCAGATGTGGATGAAAAAATTTTAACTCGATACCTACTTCCTGTCGGCCATTTTGAAGTCAAATGCTAAAATCCTTGTCTGCAAACTTTAAGAAAAACGGCTTCACAGTTGCTTTTAAAACTTTAACATCTTGTTCAGCTCACTTCATTCTAGATCTGATTAGGTTTTGGACCTGTTAGCTCAGTCATGTCAGCCATTTTGAATGTCTTAAGAAAAGTTAGCGCACGATAATACTTTGTATCATATTGAATGGTGTTTTTGAGTTTTCATACTTTAACTATTTAGTAGCTTTATAAATAATTTCAGATCTACTTTGTTGTAAAAGCCTATGTTATTGTTAAAAGTAGTAATATGTGATAATTTTGTAAGAAGAAATCAGCAAAAACACATAATCACTTTTTTATTGTCGGCCATTTTGGATTTTTCCGTCCTAAAATCTTGTCTGTGAAGTCTTGTCTACGTGTTTTCAGGTGAACCGTTTGGTGGATCAATTTCAAATTTTCAGGGATGATTCTTAGTATAAAAATCTAGATCTGATTTGTTTTTTGGCATTCTGGGTAAATGTCAAGGCAGCCATTTTGGATTTTCCATCCTAAAATCTTGTCTGTAAAGTCTTGTCTACGCGTTTTCAGGTGAACCGTTTGGTAGATCAATTTCAAATTTTCAGAGATGATTCTTAGTATGGAAATGTAGAACTGATTAGTTTTTTGGCATTCTGGGCAAATGTCAAGGCAGCCATTTTGGATTTTCTGTCCTAAAATCTTGTCTGTAAAGTCTTGTCTATGCATTTCCAGGTGAACCGTTCTGTAGATCAATTTCAAATTTTTAGGGATGATTCTTAGTATGAAAATCTAGATCTGATTAGTTTTTTGGCATTCTGTGTAAATGTCATGGCAGCCATTTTGGATTTTCTGTCCTAAAATCTTGTCTGTAAAGTCTTGTCTACGCGTTTTCAGGTGAACCATTTGGTAGATCAATGTCATATTTTCAGGGATGATTCTTAGTATGAAAATCTAGGAACAGATTAGTTTTTTGACATTCTGGGTAAATGTCAAGGCAGCCATTTTGGATTTTCCATCCTAAAATCTTGTCTGTAAAGTCTTGTTTACATGTTTTCTAGTTAACTGTGTGACGGATCAATTAAAATTGTGTTGGTAAGTCTTGTCTACTCATTTTCAGGATAACCATTTCATGGGATCACCCATTGGTGGGGACATTTTGTACACATTTGTGTTCTTGTTTATTATTGATATTAACAATTCCTGAAAAGGGGTGGTGTTTAAAATGCGCTAAAGTTAAAAAACACACATCACATGTTATTTTCCCATAACAAAATTAGTACATACACGAATGCTTTTATGTTTCCAATATTATAAGTTCTTACACGTTTCAGCATGTGCCGGGAAATATTCCACGAAAGTAAAAATTGTATCACCACGAAAGCGCAGCTTGAGTGATGATACTTTTCTACTGAGAGGAATATTTCCCGTATCACATCCGCTGAAACGTGTGATGACGATTTTATCACATACTATGTAGAAGTCTAGTGAAATACTAATTGAATGCAAAGAATAGAATGAAGTTGTATTACGTCATTTCCATACACAACGTGTGGTATGTGTGCTCGTATCATGAAATTTATGTGATACGGGAAATACGTCATAGAGAGCAAACAATCAAATCACTAGATTTCTACATAGTATGTGATAAAGAATGATACATGATTTTATTCCATGATGGTGAAATTCCTTGCAATCTGATTGGTGCACGTGACTTAAATATATCCTGTATTTACACGCACATTCCACTAAGCGTTGGATACAGAGTGAAAAAGACGTCAGCGTTGGGATACGGTCTAGTATCCCAACCCCCCAGATTTCCATCCAGGACGTTCGTAATTTTGATGCATCAACACGTCTAAATTTTAGTGTGCAAGAAATATCATAGTTTTAGTGAATTTTAGTGGTTAAAACACAGTTTTATCGAATGTAACAGTAAGGCATAGTGCCACTGGTCATATAGCTGCTACGAAGGCCTGACGTTATTCATAAGACTATCCGAGAAGGTTGTAAAACAGGATAATTTTGGACTTCCGGTTTGGAAATTGGATAAAAAATGGGGCCGAAATCTACCCCAAAACAGATAAAGTCAAATACGACCATCAACAACATATCCAAAGTGAAACATGGACTAGTTAAGAAGTCTTGCATGACCATACAGCCACCCACGGCGTCCTCTGCAGTGGCAGCGGCCCTCCGCGGTGGTGCCGGCCAAGGGTCTCACCCCCCTCGGCCGCCACCACCCCAGGAGGTCACGGCTGCAGAGAATGCCGAGGGTGGGGAGCAATTTTTTCAGGGCAACACTGCAGATGTGATAACAATTACGCATCAAGAAGACAGAGTTAACTCCCCATGTCCCAGCTCACAACAGCATGCCCAAGTTATCCCAGCTACTGAGTTCCGTGATATGTTTTCCTTCATCAAGGACTCTATAAGAGATATACAGAGTGATGTTGCAAATATACGTCATGAAATGGTCGCCCAGGAAACACGAATTCTACGCAAAATGGATGAAAAGGTACAAACAATCCAAACTGATCTTAGATCGGAATTAGTATCATCAACAGCTGCTCTCCAAGACCGTATAGCATCTATTGAACAAAACATTTCCAAAAGCGATAGTGTTGCTGAAGAATTTCGCTCTATCATTGTCAAAAACCTTGAGGATACAAATAAGTCTGACCCAATTCAGGTAAATGACCTAATTCAAGGCCTTGGTCTCAAAGACATTCCTGTCGAGCATGTCTCAAGAAAGGAAAAACGTCAAGGTGGCAAGTACCCTGGTATCGTGACTGTTGTTTTTAAAGATAAAGCCTCAAAAGAAGAAGTTCTAAAATCAAAACGGAATCTGAAAAACAATCCCAGATATAGAAATACGTATATTGAAAATTTTGTTACCCCAGAAGTCAGAAAAATGAACTCAAATCTAAGGACTGTACTCAAAGCAGCAGGTAAAGACACCGAGTTTGTTCTTAGAAATGGTATGTTTGTAAAGAAGGACGCCAAACAATAGGAACTCAGCCGATGTCGGTTAAAATTGGGACATTGGAATTTAAATGGATTTTCGTTGAAAGACTTTACGGATAATTCCATATTTAGGAAGGCCATTATTGCGAATCTTGATTTCGATGTTTTAAGTTTGAATGAAACATTTCTTAGAAATAATGAACAATTGAGAGTTGATCATTATAAATGGTTTGGAAATAATAGAACCACTAATCACACAAATGCGAGACGTGGCTCTGGCGGAGTTGGATTCTTAGTGAAAGAGTCGGTGCTCCAAAGTTTTAACTGTTCAATACTTGACAGCTCAACTCAGGATATTTTGTGGATTGAACTATCATCTAAAAGGTCAGATTTGACATTTATATTGTGCAGCTGTTATCTTCCTCCCATCTCCAGGACCACAACTAACATGGCTCCAGAGACTTTTTTCTCCGACCTTACTCAGGGGGTTTACTCCTACCAAAACTATGGCCAGTTGTATATACTAGGGGACTTCAATGCACGTCTCGGATCCTTAAATGATTTCATAGAGGGGGTTGACAATATACCTCATCGAGCGAGCAAAGATAGTACAACCAATGCCTATGGGGATCTTTTTATGAATTTTATGGTGGACACAAACATGTGTGTATTAAATGGAAGAACTCCAGGTCATGATGACTGGACTTGTATCTCACATAAGGGCAGGTCCATTGTGGACTACATCGTCACCACGCATGAAGGGCTTCATAATGCCAGAAATTTTGATGTATTGTTATTGTCAGATATTATCCGAGAATTAAACATGAACAGACCCCAAAGCATCCCTGACCATTCTATCTTAAAGTGCACTCTCGATATTGGCTCAGAAATCATTCCATGTGATACTTCAGGTCAATCTGGAAATAATAGTCAATTTAAGGTGAAGCCTACCCCTGATGACTTCATGCAAGATGAAAGTCTCTTTAATAAGGTCATGGACACCATCAAAAGTATGGAAGTGAATGCAAATAAAAAGCAGCGTATTAACACTATTTATGGTGAATTTGTCAATGTGATAAACAGTGAAATGAATCGTGTATTTGACAAAATATCAGTAAAATCATCTAACCTTAAAAGAGGGAAATCCTTTAAAAAGCCCTATTGGAATGAAACCCTACAAACACAATGTAATATAGCTGACAAAGCTGAGAAACTTTGGTTAAATTGTAAGGATACAAATCAGAAAAGAAATCTCAAAGAAGTGTACTGTATTGAACGTAGGCACTTTGACAAGTTACACAGGCGATTCAAGCGGGCTTATCAAAAACAGGAGCAACAACACCTGCTAGACCTACATAATGAAGTAAATTCAAGGGACTTCTGGCGTCATATTGGCAAACTTGGTATGTCAAATGACAGAAAGCAATTTATCCCATGGGAATGTGTTGATGAAGCAGGAGTTATCCATACTGATAAGCAACAAGTCTTGCGACATTGGGCTGACTCATACCAAAAACTCTATTCAGTTCAAACTGACAACAATAATAAATATGATGACAATCACCTAAAAATCATCCAAGAAAACAATACACGTACAAATAACACAGAGGCGGCCAATAGTGAGGAGACCCTTAATGGCAACATATCCATCCAAGAAGTTGCAGAAGCTGTAGCAAGAGCAAAGCTCCGTAAAGCAGCTGGGATTGACTCGATCCCTGCAGAAACACTTAAAAATCCCCACTGTATTGCCCTACTGCACAACATAATACAGGAATGTTTTGAATCTGGCATGGTGCCTGATCAATGGATGGAAGGAATAATTAACCCTATTTTCAAAGATGGGGATACAAGGAACCCACTTCACTACAGAGCTATCACCCTAGTATCAGTGCCAAGTAAAATATATTGTGATGTATTGAACAAAAGACTTACAAATTTCCTTGAAACAAACTCCCTCTTAGTGGACGAGCAAAATGGCTTTCGAGAAAAGAGGAGCTGTCGTGACCAGATCCACACTCTGTACTCTATTGTTAACAATCGCAAGCTAGCAAAAATGGACACATATGTTTGTTATATCGATATGACGAAAGCCTTCTGCAGTATAAATCGAGATTGCCTATGGTTCAAACTCAATAGAATAGGAATAAAAGGGAAAATCTTTAAGGCTGTTCAATCCCTGTATCATGATGTAACCTGCTCAGTGAGGATTAATGGCTTGCTGACCCCTAAATTCAAGGTATCTAATGGATGTAAGGAGGGCTGTTTGCTTTCCCCGACCCTGTTCGCCATCTATATAAACGATTTAGCATCTGATGTGAAACAATTGAGGTGTGGAGTCCATGTTGATGATACCAATGTAGGTATATTACTTTATGCAGATGATATCGCATTAATAGCACCAACCCCTCAAGACTTACAACGCATGCTAAATAAGGTGAATGAATGGTGCAGGAAATGGAGACTCTCTATGAACCTGAGCAAAACAAAAATAGTGCATTATAGGCCCCCCTCCCACCCTCAATCAGTCTACATTTTTACATGTGGCCAAGATACCATTGAATATGCTTCAAAATATAAATATCTGGGTATATGGCTAGAGGAACACTTAGATGCCAAAATCATCGCAAGTGAAATTGCCAAATCAGCTTCAAGAGCCCTGGGAGTAATTACAACTAAAGCAAAAGCTACTGGTGGAATGGACTTCAAAGTGTTTAACAAGCTATATGACTCCCTGGTACAACCAGTGATCAACTACGGCAGTGCTGTTGTTGGCCTTAGGGAACATAGATGCCTAAATAATATACAAAATCGAGCTGGTAAATCATTCCTTGGTGTAAGTCCAAAAACCAACAATGAAGCAGTTCGCGGTGACCTTGGGTGGAGCCCTCTGGTGGATAAAACAAGATTGGAATGTGCCCGCCAGTACCTGAGATTACACAATATGGACCATAATAGATTGAACTATAAAGTGCATGTTTGGTCATTAAAACAAAAAAGAAGTTGGGACTATCATACTAAAACAATGTTGTCAAACAATGGTATTTCCACTGATAATAATATTTCCTTACATGTAAAAACAACAATACAACTTTTAAAGAACTGTTTCAATTCGAAAGATCCTTTCTTGAAAAACATCTGGAACGATAAAAATAATGTGCAAAATGGAAATAAGCTTCGAACTTATAGAATGTTCAAATATGGAGTTGTAACTGAATCTTATGTATCTGATTATATTCCAAGACATCATAGAAGTATGCTTGCCAAACTGAGAACAGGTAGTCTCCCACTTAACATTGAGACTGGTAGATGGTCAAACATAGCATTGCAAGATCGAACTTGTAAATTATGTGAAAGTAACACTATTGAAGATGAATTGCACTTTGCCATTCAATGTAAACATTACTCCAGCCTCAGATCACACTTTTATGAAACTGTTACAAACATTTTGACGCCACATATAAAAACAAATAATGACAATGATTTACTTCTATTTATTAGTCTCATGCATTCAAAATCAATTCAAAGGCAATGGGCTGCTCTCTTGCATAACATGTTTGTAAAGAGACAATTTGACCTTGAAAGGCTGACTGAAACATAATTATTTGTAATGTCCTAATGTATGTTTCACCATAGTCATTCGATTGAGTGCCTCATTACTTTTATACTATAATTTAACTAGTCAATTTAAAGAGGCAATATGTTACATGTTAACTCTTTCTATTTATTATGTATATGAATTTATAATTATCAAACCTGTGCAATACTTGGGATAAATTGTTTTATTATACATTACTGATACGCATTGTCTACAGTCTGACAGTATATGCTTAATGTTCTTGCGATAATAATTTGGAAGTTAGTGACCAGTGTCTCATAAGCCGACATCGGCTGGTGGTATTTTAACTATGTTCTTATATATGTATTAATTGTATCATACCAGTGACACTTAAATAAAATATTTTAAACTTAAACTAAACTATTACTGAAAAAAATCAATGGTGATCAGTTTACACCAACGCATGCTAATATTTGCATTTTGCTAGAAAAATCTGATTTGAATGTCAGGAAATGATACGGTGATCATCACAATTTATAATTTTAGGATAAAAAACACTCATCTGTGAATATAAAAAGATCAATATGAAGCATGCAAATTGTTTCCATGAACTAGTAAAAAAAATTTAAAATCCAATATGGCAGACGAGTCGAAAAAACGTTTCGCTACACTGCACTTCTATCTAAGTTTCTCAAAGTTCGAGACTACAAATCCAAATCAATATTTTTGTTTGAAAGTCAGGATATACATTCCTCTGAAGATTCCACACTGTGTGAGCACAGGACCGTGGGTCCTTTATTATCCTGGAACGAACGAAGTTCGGTAGGGATATAGTAAAGCCCTCCGTCCGTCAGTCCGTCCGTCCGGAAGATACCTCGAATACTAGTTGACGGATTTTCTCTTCGGAATTATTTTCAAAAATCTCATGTTTTCATTTTAAACCAAAATGGCCGCCTAATGCGGGATTTCGCAATAATTTTCTGATGTCTTAGAAGTGTGCCTATATTATACTCAAATTGAAGGAATTTTAGAGTAGATCGCAAATATGGTATCGTTTTTTCTGATTTGTGCCTCGGTAATCCAAGATGGCTGCTTAAAGCAGGAATTCGCCATTACTTGAGATATCCTTAAGTATGGTTACATGATACTATATACAATGATCTCAAGTGTTTATTGAAGGGAAGAGTAGGTGGCAAATATCACATTGTGACTGTACAGATTCATGATTTATTTAGTGTTCGTTGGGATTTGCCACTCCGTGGAGTT